TTTACTGTTTTTTATACTGTGGTCATTTAAATGTGTTCTTCATTCAGCCCTTCTGTTCAAGATACTGTGACTGAAGTCATTGCTTGAGTGCTTAGTCCGCTCTCTTCTGACATCTCTCCTACTTGGGATTTTAGCTTCTTCAGTGAGGTAGAAGGTAAATGACTGGGGAAATGATGACCACCAGGCTTGTTTCTCTATACTCCATAGTAAGAGATAAAATTTGCTGGCAGGAAGCTAATCTGCACTCTGTAAGAGGATGAAGATGGGTGCGCTTCCTGAAGCCCACTCAGCATTTACCAATCACCGACCACTACTGCTGTCGTTCTGAGTGAGGGTGAAGCAGCAGTGACCATCATCAGGCATCACTTGTCTGGACTAAATTTACTGACAGCACTCCCAAAAGGAAGTGATAACTTTGATTTGGGCCTGTGTTTGGGCCCAGGTCAATTCTGAAGGAAGGGGTAAAAAGGTCCAAGCAGTAACTAAATCTCTCTAAATTGTCCTTTAATTTTCAATAATTTAAAATAACAAGAGTCATGTGATAATAGGCTGGATGAAGTGGTATGATAAAATAAGCAGCCACACTTGGAAACAAGCTTTGGAGTTGAAATTACTCAGCTAGGTGTGTGGTGAAGTTTAGATCTGAAGCATCAGCATGAAGCTATTATTAGAAGGTCAGGAGTAAAATAATTGCAAGTGATTGGATTCCCTGGATTATGCCTAAACCAAACCACCAGACCTAAGTAGTCTGCTCTATTATCAGGTGCAGAAATTATCTCTGAGAGACAGTCCATCTGCTTTTGCCCACCTCCAGTCTCAGCAGGAACAGTAAGTTCCAGAAATCCCATAAAAACAACCGATTTGCACAACATGGTTTCCAGAACTTTAACTGCTATTTCTTTTTCAGACAGAGTTATTTTAGGAATATTGTCCATATGAAACTGTACCATGTTCACAGGAATCCTTTCTCTTGTTTTCCAGCTTGCTGAAAAGTCCTGGCCTTGCAGTAAGGTGGCTGACTCGCTTCCGGTTCAACTACAAAACTTGGAAATGGCCTCTGTGTCAGGTTAGTCTAAATTATAACTCTGTACTAGCCACCTTTCAGCTAACCCTCTACTTTCTTGTTTTGCCAAAAGTCAGCCAGACCTTTCTTTCTGTTTTCTGCCGCCTTTTTAAAAAACATTAAAATATAAAGAATACATACTGCTCTTCAGTATCCTGGCTCACAGTCACTGAGTGATAACTGAGGATAGGCATTTTGACTATATGGCTCTCCATCTACAGTGTTTCTTCTCTCAACATTTCAGGGACTTTTGTGGGACGAAGCATACCAGTCGAAGTGGATGAATCCATACCATGGTCCCAGTTACCTGAACACGTCTTGGAAAAGGCTTTGCACCCTTCTGGAGAGGATATGGAGGATGAGGAGGCCCAGAGACCATGTGTTTTTCAAACATCTCAGCCTGCAGCCGATCCATCATGCCTTTGCAGAGCACCAGCACATCATCAGTCAGCACCATCCATTGAGCCAGACAGCAGCTTGTGGTCAAAATATACTGATCCCGATGGAGATGGACACTTCTGTTCCTCCAGTGAATCAATAGCAGGAGTATTTCCCTCCAAGAGGCATCTTACAGCTATGGACAAACCAGGCATGCAGCCAAGATCACAGCTTTCAGCTGACACCAGGCACAAATCCAGTAAATCAGAGCAGATCTTGTCTGATGTTCCTGAGGACTCACTGGAGGAGAGCAGCCAAGGGAGTTCACAGTCACAGCAACCCTCAGGAAACAGACACCCAGCAGAGCTGGGGACTGTGGACACAGGGTACAACTCCCAGTCACAAGACGTAATGGGCATCAGGCACCTGGAGCCCCCCTTACCGCTGGTGTCTGTACTGAACCCCCAGGACCTCCCAGGACCACTGATCTCCAGGGAGTTTATGGGACCGGAGCATCAGCAGTGTCCTCTGTGCCAGCACTTGCCCCGTCCCAATGCCCCCTCGCAAGCCCCCGGCTGCTTTGGGCACCACTGCCCAGCAGAGCAGCACCCCCAAGGCCCATGTGAGTATCACCACTCGCCCTGCGGGAGGTTCTCCGGGTGTATCACAGCCATCGCTCACCGGGGCAGTGTTTCCCAGTGCGGCGTGCAGTTATTAACCTCTTTAGGCATCTGTTTGCAGCCCTTTTTATAATTTCAGGGGTTTGAGTTATGCAGCTGGGCTCTCTGGTGCAAAAGCTCTGAGACAGATAAAAAGTCAAAGAGGTCACAGTTACTCATGAATGCAGGCTAATGATTTTGCCTAGAAACTAGCCTTTGCTGGTCACGCTGATCATACAAAGCCTCTCCCTGCTGTTATTTCATATTCTAGTCATTTCCTTCCTCCTTGCATCAGTCATTCGGCAGCCTCCTATACCGACTCAATTCCTGTTGTTTTCATAGATTTGCTTGCTCCCACTTGGATCCCCAAAGCTGAGAATTTCCTGCCAGGATCAGGATGGGAGGTTACCCTTGATCTCTGTAAATAGTATCCCCCAGCCCTGTGACCAAACTCACCCATGGGTTTTATTTCTACGTGAAAAGAGCATGACATCCATCATCCTCGTTTTTTTTCTGTTGTCAGCTGAAATGAAAGCTCATTACTTAAAATGGAGCCCCCTCAGCTTCTGGTGATTGTATCGCTGAACGCTGATGTGACTCCATCAATATGGGTGTTTTGGCTCTTGGAGACTACGACGCAGTTTACAACCTGCTATTAATTAGTATTCCTTTTCAGTCTCTGAGATTTTTATCTGTTATGAAGTGAGCTTTGAACATTCAACAGCAATATAATTGTTTTAATGCAATTTATATTACATTAGACTCATGAGACCCCGACCTGTTTTGGGCTGGCTTTGTAATAAAAAGCCTTTGTAGGCCTGTTCTGATAACCCTTTATTATTTTTTTTAACCTTCTGTTGCCTCCACAGCTGTTTAAAGAGTTTTGTCATTCCAGCAATGTGCTGTAATTAGGTATATGAAAGAGAGAGGGTTTCAGAAACTCAGTTTCCAGCTCTAATTTTGGAGCTTTGTAAAGGGGAAGGGGCTACGGATGGACTTTCAACAACACTTGCAGCTTAACATTTGGAAAATGTCCTCTGCTTTTCTTTTCATACCTTCTCCTTTCAGTTCAGCTTTCAGCAGACAAAGAGTTGGTTGCACAACACCCCTCACTATTTACCTCAATTTACCTCTTCCACAAGCAGACATCCTGAGAAGTAGGACATTTAACTGAATGAGGACATTTTGTTTGAAAGCAGGAACTCTGAAAGGCTTTCTTTAGAAAAATCACTACCATTTTAACCATATCCAGAGGGCAAAAAGAGTAAAATAAACTCAGATGGCTGGAGCAGATTTGGTCTGGACCAAGAAGCTGGCAACTGTACTCCTGTTTCTCACATGCCTGGTACAGCATAAATCACCTCCTGACAGCTCCTTGCGTTTCAGATAATTGTTGGGCAGTGGCAACCCACAACAAAGCTCTGCAGTTTGTGTGTTGCAACATGCCTCCCCTGGGGAATAGCAGTTGTGCCGGGAGGCTCTGAACTGGCTCCGGACACCTGCTATTTGAGATTCAAAAGCAAAACTGCTTCTGAAGTCAAAGAAATTCTCGCAACAATGCTACGTGCCCGGGGACGATTATTTCAGGTATCTCTATATGAGAGGTGTGTCGGTGTACGGGAACACATTCTCCTGGCCACACTGTGCTTTGAAGGGCAGTGGCTTCATCCATTAAAATAATGTGGATCAGACAGATCCAAAGGAAGCCAGTGAAACACTGGCCTTAAACCTCTAAACCAAACTGAGTCTCCCAGATCCCTACCATCTCCCCTAGAGCTGGTCATGAGGAATCCGTAAGAAAAACATATTGATTTGTAGTATTATTCTCCCAGCCCCTTTCACCGTGCCCTGTTGCAAACAGTTAAGAGGGGAAGTGGGAAAAATCTAAAACAATCTCAACAAATGCAATGTTGCCGACTCGCAATTTCATCAGGAAAGTCTTTGTAATTGTAGGGTTGGTTGTTTGGGGTTTTTTTTAAGTATTTGCCTCTGGAATTGGACTATTTAATCAAAGCTTAACAGTTTTGGGGGGAAAGAGCATTTGAGTGCTACAGCTTTCAGAACCAGCTCATAGCAGTATAATCATGCAGTGCTAATAAGCCCTGCCAGGCTGGACTTTGATCTGCACACAGCAGCTTGAAGGTGCATGGAGCTGCTGCCTAATGAAAACTGCAAGCAGAAAGACTAGAGGGGAAAAAAATTACTTTTCCCCATTTGAGAAGCAAACAGCTTGCATTGCTTTCTCTTTCAGTTTATGACAACAGTTCCATGTACATTAGTTATTGACCTGCATTATGTGCTTGTCCCAGTAACAGTAAGGGAATTTTCAGAATTACTTGAACAAAATCGTCACTTTGGGCTTCCCCTGCAGCCTCCTGGATGGCAACAGGAGCAGCAACAAGGCCTTAAAAAGTCACTTGGACAGAAAATTCACACAGGGTGAAGTAACAAACTAAGAGATTATTTTTTCTCTTTTCATTTACAATAATCACGGTCTGTTTAGCCTTAGTGTTGCAAACTGATTTGTTCCAGGATTTTGCATCTGCTTTGATGAGAACTTTGAGATGATTCATTTTCACAAGTTAGTGCCAAAAAGAAATTAAAAAAAAAAACAAAACAGAACTACCCCTACTGAAGAACACTGAGGCATGGTAAGTGCAGGGACAAAGCAGCTCGGAATGTTTTACTGTCAGCTGTCCCAACAGCCCAACCCAGAGCGGGGATCTGCACCATGCCAGGTTCAGATGTGAATGGGAAATAGAAAGCTTCAGACTGTAAAATGTTCCTTCATCTGGCTTCTTCCAGAGCGAGATACCTGCAAATGCCTCCAAACTGCTCAGTTTCCTGAGACATGAAGGAGGATGTGCCTGGAAAGGAATAAACATAAACTGAGGCAAAAATGTGTTGGCTGAAATGATAGTGGCTGCCTTTATTTTCTCACCCTCCCAGATGGCAGAGCTCCTTACCAGCATTTTGCACAGACATCGCAACCACTTCCTCCTGTTCCCGGACCTTGCATGAGAGTTATCCGCCCAGCCCAGCAAGTCATCCCAAATTACTCAAACCTTCGTGCTCCCAAGGGCACTGGAGACCGACCACCACCCCAGAGGACATGCTCCTCCCCTGGTCCTCCTCGATTCCTGTAAGTATGCCGGGGGGGGTTTGGGGCTGGGGAAGCTGGAAGCTCCAACCAATAATTCTGAATTCTTGTACTGTGAGTGTGCCCGGGCTGCAGGGGATGTGAGATGCTGGGTGGTTTTCTTTCTACACCCAATGGGGGCCTGACCTTACCTTAAAGAACTTCAAAGCCAGATACCTGATATGTTGTTACAGCACACCCTGAAATGCACACTTTAAGGAAGATAAATGCTTGCAGGTTAAAGGGATGAAGGGTTGAAAAATATCTCACTTGAAACCTTAGAGCTCTCCTGCTCAAGGGCAGAGGTCAGTGTGGTGGCTCACTGTGGTCTTCAGCTTTGTGCTGTACCAGCCTGGGATGACTCAAGTCATTGGCTTCCAGTGATTTCCTTCTTATCTCTTCTGTGGTGCAGAGAAAAAGGGAGAAAACCTCATCAATTGCTGATATATCTCTACACTGCAGTTTGCAGCCTTTACTATGATTTTTCATGTAGTAGTATAACACCACACATCTGGCACTTTTCATCCAGGGGTTTTTGACTGGTTTTCAAATATTAATTTACCAAGCCTTATATCCTTATACATACGTCATTAGCAGATGGGAAACCTATCCATGCAGGATTTTTTACCTCCAGACTCTGTTATCTAAAAACAAATCGAAGCTTCAAGTATTGAGGATATCTGAAACCTGACCGTTTTTATTTAAGTGCCACAATACTTCTAGTGGTGTTAAATTCACAGGCATCCGTGCCTGAAAATGTCCACTTATGAGACTTGATCTTGGCAGGAAACTGGGAGAATAGGCAGATCAAAGGAGGGCAGATGACTAAAATATTGCTCTGCTCTGGCCTGTGAAAAGTTAGGGGCTGTGACAGAAAAGTGACAGACAGCAAGCTAAGGCAATACCTACAACAGAGACAATTGCACTGAAGAGTTTGTATGGAAATGTACAAATAATGGGGAATAGTGGGTGTCCTTTGCAGTAGTAAAATTTATAAACAGATTCATAATTTTTGGCACATTTTTTAGATAAGGTGAAGTTTTGGGATGATCTGTAAATTAACCTCGGAATATTTTTTTTTGTGGCTATTCTTGAGGTGTGTGTTGCTTTTGTCTGCTAAAAGAGATCCAGAATATGCGGGGTCTATCCTGTGGCTGTGTGACTGGTGTTTGCAGGCTGATTCCCAGAACAGCAGTTATATGCTGGTAATATTTGCCTATAGAGCATTTTGTAACAGAAAACATCTGCACTGAAATGAATAAACCAAATCTTAATGTGACAACAGAAAACATGCTGTGACCAGCCTGTCATCATTCATTTAAGGAAGGCTAAGAAAAAAAGAGAGTGGTCTTGACTGACTGAACATCACAGCTCTGTGGGGAAAAGCTCTCAGAGAAACCTAACACTCATCCAACAGATTCAACCCAGCAGATTCTCAGCACACCTCACATGAAAATCTCTATAGATTCCCCTTCCCATTGACTTAAACTGTGAAGCCAAAGTGTCACAAGACAGGAACTGCTAAGCTTCCTAAAGTCATGCTTTTCTGTTTGCTACAATGAAGTTGTTAGGCAAGGTTATTGCAGGTCTGGATTACCAGTCCCTGATATGAGAAAGCCTCATTTGGATCTGTGATTCCTGGTCATGAAATTAAGTTTGTATCCTTTAGGAAAACTTCGTGTTCGTCCAGAACTGGACACCCTCCAGAGCTGGAGGTGGAGTGCCCTTGTAGCCCCATTTTTCCAAATTCCCACCTTGCTCTTTGCCTCCTGTGCTGCACAGGATATTGTGAGAGCATGTGAGGTGCCATGAAGCACCCCTTAGATAATGTGAAGAGATTACCCAAGGGCCACCCTGCTCCCATACATGCATAACAACCTCCACACGGCATTATTTCTCGCTCAGAAGTGGCCTTTGCTTCTGCTAATTGCAAGCTGAACAGCTTTCAGCTATGATGTGACTTACTTCCTGTGACTGATGCCGCTTCTGCAATAAACTGCTTCTTACGGTAGACTGTCACCAAAGTATCCATTCAAAAGATGCTGTAATAACTTAGTAGCTATGCTGAGTCAGGCATCTCTACAAGAATTTTTCCTAGCTAGTATGCAGATCAAGTTCTTAATGTGTTATTAAAAGAAAAAAAAATTCTAAATTTTGCCTGAAAAGAAGTATTTTTAAAACCCCCGCTTGCTTTTCTTTGTAGAAACCAGCTATACAACCAGCTACCTAATGGTCAGATGCCACCCAAGGCATGTGGCCTGGATGAAGCATGCGGTTGTCCCTCTGACAATTTTCCGTCTCCAGCTGCTGTCCCAAGACCTCTCAGTAACCCTGCAGCCAAGGGAACTCTGAGAACCAGCAATTTGCCGGAGGAGTTGCGTAAGTGGTCGGTTAGCAAATTTGTTCTGTGCAAGATTTTACAGCGCAGACTAACAGTTTTAGGTGGGAAAGCTCCAGAAGAGGGAAAGGGGGAGTAGATGGCAGGGGGAATGAGACTGACAAAAAGACAACAAGAAAAGAGGGAGTGTCATCACATCTGTAGGGTGTGAGTGTCTGTGTTCTGTGGGATGGAGTTATCCCCTTGAATCCTGAAAATGTAATTGTCATTAATTGCTTGTTATTTTGTTTACAAAAAGTAAATACTGTTTAAATTGTTTTCATGACTCCTTGCTAAACAGGATGTCCCTCTGAGGGGGGCTGAAGCTTACAGTAAAAGCCTAATAACAAACAAAGTCCTAGGGATAAAGCATTTCTGCCTGTCCCAAATGAGACAAATATGTTGAACACTGACCTCAGTTTCTCCTTGACTCAGTGAGTAGAGAAGACTTTGGGTCAGGAACCCATGCTGAGAGCAGCACAGACTCTGGCTGAGGTGCTTCTATTGCCACCAGCCCCACAAACACATTTACCTCCAACTCTTACAAGGTTTCAGAAAAATGAGTTCCTTCTTAATGCCAAGGTGGCTAGTAGGTGAGATGTACCATTGCTAAGAACCCTCCACATCTCTCTGAGGTTTTGCTTCTTCCTTTTGTCTACATTTTGCACATCGCCTTTCTACTCCAAAGAGTTGCATCTCTCTGGCCTGTAGGAGTGAGTTACGATACTGGGTGCCACTCTTGGATAGACCCTACTTTTTCAGCTAGATGGAGGAATGACTGGATAAAATAGTGTCATTTGTGGCACATGCTCAGCTGGGTTAGATTAGCCAGCTGGTTTACCCTGATGCAAACCCCTGATTCTTCAGTTAGTATGGAAACTCCTTCCACAAGGGCAAGGACAGCTGAAGGCATTGTCACCAGCCATGCATCCTGCCTGCAGAGGGGGTTAATGCTGCTCCAAGGTGAGGCAGTATGGCATAAGGGCCTCTCCAGCTCCATATCTGTGGGGTCTGGGGGAAAGCTGTGCTGGTTGCAGCCAGTGCAGGCAGCAACCTGTGGGTGAAAGCCCAACCTCACTTCTGCCAAAGGGGTGGGGAAAAGCAGCTCTGGCCAAAGGGCAGAGTGAGCAGCAGAGTGATGTTACCCTCCGCAGCTTGCCAGCAGCAAGGCAGTAGGACCTTCAGTCTACAGCGAGGTTCTGTACCGGGGGCCGATTTCAACACCGAGGCACTGCACTATCCCACATGCATTTTGTAAATAATACAAAGAAACCAAAGTGGGCAAAATCTGCAGTTCTGGAACTGCAGGAAAAGGAGGGCTGTGACAGTCTCACCCTCTGAGTGGTGTATTTAAATATGTTTCATATTCATATGGACTCTTTCTCTCCCAGGGAAGGTCTTTATAACCTATTCGGTTGACACAGCAGTGGAGGTTATGAAATTTGTGAACTTCCTGTCAGTAAATGGATTTCAAACTGCTGTAAGTATTCCTTCTGAAGAAAATTAAGTTCAACCAGGGAAGAAAAGAAACACTTCTTTAAAAAGCAAAGGCTATCCATTTAAATGTTTTTCTGTTTATCATCACATTCTGTTGGTTAAAGAAGATACAAACAGAATGAACTAGCCTTGGCTTTCCAAGTTTTAACTTAAATTATTTGCCTTTTTGTTGATTCATATTTTAACTGACTTTTAGGCTTTGAAATGTGCTTTAAAAACGACCCTGGAAAATTTCATTTAGTGCCACCAGATACCAGATGGGCAATTGTATGCGGTTTTGTGAGCTGTTCCATTAAGATTGTCTCATATTTGATCTCTAATATCAATATTAAAAAAGGTCAATTTTCATGTTCCTCCTACCCCATCTTTTTTTTATGTGATGCTATTACATTGTTAGTTCTTCAGATGTGAATACCTTTCTGCTAAAAAATTATCTAAAAGCAGTGTATTTCACACAGCATAATGAAACAGCCCATCTCATTGTTTCATTTGCTTTGTTATACTTTTAAAAGGGATTCTAAAAATCATTGGCCTGAAAAGGTCTGTGTCCCGCTGTCTAATCCCATAAGCCATTCAAATTTTTACTGAACTTCTCATGAGTTTGCTTCATCATAGCAGCTCTCTCTAAGGGATCCATCCACGGAGGCTCTAGGATTCAGTGTTCATCAAAATCTTGATTCATATTTTCTTATTTCAGGAATATATGGTATCTGACCCCTCAACCTTCACTCTTTGGCTCCAGTTCAGGAAACCATTTAAGCAAGTGGCTATCATTAAACTGAATGAGACTTGGTGGGGGGCTTTGCACATGCTTATTTATTTTCATGAATCAAAGATTTTTTTTTTTTCCAGAGACTGCAATTATAGTTCTCTCCAGCAGTTCTGTGCTATGACCAATTCATAAGAAAGCTTTGGGCACCATAGAGTTACAGAGTAGAAGGCTCATTAATAGCACCTTTGCTGGATGGCAACTCATAGACCCTGCTGCAGAATAATAAACATAGCAAAATGGCCCCAAAGCAAAGAAACAAATACGCTTTCTATGTACAAAAAGGGAAAATGAAAGACTTGAGAGCAGAACATGACTCATCTATCAAAACTTGGAGAAGTTAATACTTCCTCCATTGGTCACAGTCACTGATTTCTGGTTTCTGGGTTTACTGGGTGTGTAGAGAAGCGAGCAGTGTTGGTCATATTCAGTCTGTGAAGTCTTCCACTGCTCTGCTGTCACTGAAGTCTGGGTTACTGCATCCAGTATCAGTGACCTGGCTGACTTCCTCCACACACCCTGAATATTTAGTTCAAAATGAAGCTAAAACTTCACTCTCGGTATACCCTTGCAGCCAGAAGATAGTGGGCGATTGCAGCTATACAGATAGAGAAAGTGGGCAGCCATCCATGCTCACGAGATGTTTAGAGTGGCCAACAAGCCACTTTGCAAACATCACATATCTAATGTTCACCAGCACTGTTTTTTTCTTGTTCCATTGAGGAAAATAATGCCTGGGAGTTGAGAGCTGGCAGGGC